TTTCTGAAAGAGAGTTAACTTTAACTCAGAGTCAGTTACTGTGGTAACTTACTCTGTGAATCTAACCTGGTCAGAAGCAGGTTTTATTCTCTAAACTCGGAGTTTCTGTCGGTCTCCTCCCCTTTTTTAAAGATGAAGCGGTATTTCTCGCCTTAGTCTTACGTTTCCACCCACCTATTTTAATGCTCATTTTGGATACGTGCATAAAAACGATTGATAGAAATGTCATGATGCACATAACTTTTTAAAATATGCATAAAACACGCGCATAACTGAGTAGGATAAACTTTTATTCGATAAAAAATGTGCGCATAAACTACGATGGAAACACTTTTACTGAACAAATTACAGTATGTACATTAAAAAAAGATCATGATCATATGATAATGAAAATGTGTGTAAATGGACAAACCAGCAGGCTGGGCACACTGTAACGTGTCTTAAATATTGTTTTAGTCATTCTAAAATGCCTTAACTGTTTCAGTATTAGTGTATATTATTAATTACCTCCGAATGTCTGGTGCGTGTCAAGAGTCTCCGCGTCTCATGGCTTCAGACGCCCCCATGTGTTCATTGTGTTTCAGCATTGTCTTCTGACATCGAGGCGCAAGTACATTAATTAGGCTAAATAAAGAATTAATTGACGCAGCTTCTTCTACCACAGTAAATTCTGTTTTTACTGTTGATATTTGGTGCCAGTTTAATCAGGAAGTGATGATTTTTTTTCTCTTTGACTCGTTGGATGGAATTTTATTTGCATCTTTTATGCAATATTCCAGTTTTGCACATAAATTTATGTAATATATTTGGATGGAAACATGGCTATTGCCTACATTTTAGTCACACACAGAAGAACTGTACGAGAATGGCTTATCCTTTTTTAATAAATAATTAAATTAAATTCACCTTCGACACGCACTGTAACTAGATTAATGGGATTATTATTCTTTCTAAAAATTATTTTTAGTACTGCTTACCTTCTAAATGTTATATTAACCTCTATCACTTGATCAATAAAAAAGGCAGACACACAAGTGCACTGTTAAATCATTTAAAACTAATAAATGTATAAAAAAGTTTAGAAAAAAAATATAAACGTCACAAATTACATTACTTATTTTATTATACTTAAATATTTAAATACTTAAAAAGTGAAATTAGGCATTAACTTGAGCAGCTGTTTTCCCACGCTAACTGTCTCTTCTTCACTGATGGTTGCTTCTTTTTAAATATATACACTCATATTTGCTATAACTTTGCATGAGAACATCAAGTTCAGCTGGAGAAAGAAATGGTGATCTCTTTTATAAGATGTTGCCATAGTCACTCGTAATGTCTGCGCTCCATTGATAATGCCTTTTTAAAGTAACGGTGTGCGCGCTTAACTCTGAGTTGGTCTACTCGAAGTTGATTGACCCAGCTCAGATCAGCTGTTCTGAAACCGAAAACTCTGAGTTTTTAATCTCTCGGTAAATCAACTCAGAGTTCAAGTTTAAACTCTAAGTTGTTTGAACCTCCTTACTGAAACAGGCCCCTGAAATCCACCACCAGCTCCTTGGTTTTGCTGATGTTGAGTGAGAGGTGGTTTTCCTCACACCACTGCGTCAGAGTGTGTACCTCCTCTCTGTAGGCCCTCTCATTATTATCTGTGATTAGGCCCACCACTGTTGTGTCATCTGCAAATTTAACAATGACGTTGGAGATGTGTTTGGCTGTACAGTCATGTGTTTACAGGAAGTAGAGGAGTGGACTGAGAACACAGCCCTGTGGATCACCAGTGTTGAGGATCAGTGTGGATGAGGATATGTTGTTCAGTCTGCTTGAAAGGAAGTCCAGGAACTAGTTGCACAGAGAGCTGTGTAGATCCAGAGCCTGGAGCTTCACCACTAGTTTGGCAGGCACTAAAGTGTTGAATACTGAGCTGTAGTCCACAAACAGCATTCTCACATATGTGCTTTTATTTTCCAGGTGAGACAGAGCAGTGTGCAAGGTGAAAGCAATTGCTTCATCAGTGTAGCGATTATTCCTGTAAGCAAATTGCAGAGGGTCAGTGTGAGCGGACAGTACAGAGCAGATGTGCTTTTTAATCAGCTTCTCAAAGCACTTGTTGAAGATGGGTGTCAGAGCAACTGGACGCCAGTCATTTAAGCATGTGGTTTTAGATTATTTCAGTATGGGCACAATAGTAGCTGTCTTAAAGCATGTGGGAACCACAGGCCGAGAGAGGGAGAGGGAGAGGTCTGGGCCATAGCTTTCAGGATGCTCCGAAAAGATCTCGTTACGTCCACTACAGAAATAGAGTGTGCTGACTGTTTCGGTATCAGCCGCGGAGCGCACAGTGTGTGGGTGCTGTCCTGGGCTTTAAAGCAAGTGTAGAACGAGTTGAGCTCGTCCGGGAGAGACGCAGAAATGTTCACAGTGAGGGGTTTGTTACTTTTAAAGTCTGTGATGTAATTAAGTCCCTGCCACATACTCCTCCCCTATACCTTGTACCTCTGTATTGATGTTTTGCTGTTTTGATAGTTTACCTGAGGTTGTAGTTTGCTTGTTTTTGTTCCTCAGCATTTCTGGATTTATAGGCGGAGGTTCACACTAATAGGGCTGTTCGAACTTCGCCATTAATCTATGGTTTTGGGTTAGGGACAGATTTTTAGACAGTTTAGATATGGACAGTTTTTGTTGGGACCGTGTCTTCTATACACTTTCTGATGAAGCATGTAACGGTGTCTTGAGTAAACTTTAGGTCGTACTCACACTAGGTACAGTTGCCTCGAACTGGGCCAAACCGCGCTTGTCCCCCCTCCCGTCTCCCCCGACAGCCTGCACTCACACCACAAATGGGCCTCGGCACGCTTACGTCATCGCTGCTGCGCTGTTCAGTGAGAAGCGCTCTCACTCACTCAGCAGCACAGTGGAGATTTCTCTAGTTATATCGTTTCAGTCGTTTGATATGCAGTGACATGCAGTCAAATATTTCACCAAACAGTCCTTAGGGATGCATTTACACGCAGTCAGATATTTCGCCGAACAGATCCGCCACTTTAGGCGCTTATAAACAATCATAAAGCCCTAGTGCTGCAGGAATGAGGAGGTTTGCTGAAGGCGCGCAACTGTCTGCGTCTTTAATAAATTACGGCAGTTTGCGTTCACTGAACAGTAAGAATGATTAATAAATCCATATGAAACAATCCCTTAAAGTCACGTCTCTCTTTCAGTTTCGGGTTTTGGCACGTTTTGCACTCACACTACAAACGTACCGGCCAAGTGAACCGCGCTCAGGCCCTTCTCTTCCAACCGGGCTAGGGCCAGCCAAGTGAACCGTGCTTGAGCCCGATTCAGCTAAGGGTCTTCTCAACGATCCGGGAAACTCACACTTCTCAAACGATCCAGGAAACGGGCCTGGGCACAGTACGGATGGCATAGTGTGAGTAGGCCCTTAATGTCGTCATCAGAAGCTGTCCGTAACATCTCCCAGTCCACAAGTTCAAAACATTCTTGAAGTATGGAATCCGATTGGTCCGTCCAGCTTTGAAACGTCTTGAAGGTGGGTGGTTCCCGTTTCAGTTTCTGCCTGTAAGCAGGCAAGAGCAGAACAAAAGAGTCATCTGATATGCCAAACGGTGGGCGGGGGAGGAATTTGTTGGCGTCCCGGAACGGAGAATAGAAGTGGTCCAAAATACGGTCACCACGCATGTTTGTGGTGATATGGTGATAGTATTTTGGAGCGATTTTCCTGAGATTGGCATTGTTAAAGTCCCCTGTAACAATAAACGCTGCCACTGGGTGTGTGGTTTCCTGCTCGCTTATGCTCCCATTCAGTTCCCTTAGCGCCTGCTTTGTGTTGTATTTATAACAGCTGTGAACTCTCTTGGTGCCCAGTGTGGTCGGCACCGAAGCATAAGGTATTCCAGATCAGGAGAACAAAATGATCTAACTGGATGTATGTTTCTCAACCATGAGTTGTTAATAAAGAAACAAACACCTCCTTCTTTGCTTTCCCTTTTGGTTCTTTCATTCTATCCACAGTATCTTATCCATAGTATTCTATCCATAGTATTCCCTGTCTGCTAAACAAATTTTAGAGAAACATTTTGTTGTAATTATGAATATATACAAATAAAAATAGGCCATTGTTACGACCCCCTCGTTCAAGTTGCAACATAAAAGAGCTCAGACAACAAAAAAATTATATATGCAACTTATTTATTATACACAACTAATAAAACAACAAATCAAGAAACAAACAAATGTCTAGGGGAAAATAAAGAAAATAACTAACTTTAACTACACATATAAATAATGCCAAACAAAACCATAATATTGCCAAAATAAAGAGATGGTCTTGATGCGAAGACGGCCAGTAGCCACACTATCCTGCAGAAGCTAGCTCACTCTCGCATTTATATGCTTTGAACCAATTGGGGAGTAACCATGGCACCTAATCAGGATCTTCCACATCCAAAGTAGAATACCGGGGTCGTCACACCATTTACACCTTTCAAATCTGTGTCTTATCAATGTGACCAAAATTACTTTTATGATCAATTATGCAAGAAACTCTGAAAACTAGACTGACAGCGTTTCAATTTACAATGACTTCTATGTTAGGCGACTATGACACAATTTACATTGTAAAAGCTGTAGATAAATAAAGATGAATTTAATCTGCTTAAATGTGTACAGGTTAATGACTGAACAAAATATGATCTGATTTTATTTTACATTTAACATGCATCAAAATAAGTGTGTGTAGCCAATGTTTCCAGTGTCTTTTTACTTTTCAGCTTTTGATGAGAGATTTTTAGACTTAATGAAAATTAATCTGTTATTTATTTATTTCAGACCTAATTGAAGAGAATGAGAGGAAAGAGGAGGAACATCATATCAAAATTGAGGAAAAAACTCATTTACAGACTGATGGTATTTTGAAAAGGAGAGACAAGAATTGTTTCACCTGCACTCAGTGTGGAAAGATTTTGGCAAGCAAAAGCAAACTTAAGATTCACATGATAATCCACACTGGAGAGAAACCATTCATGTGCACTCAGTGTGGGAAGAGTTTCCGCCAAGCATCATCACTTAATAAACACATGAGGATCCACACTGGAGAGAAACCATTCACATGCACTCAGTGTGGAATAAGTTTTAACTGCTCATCATACCTTAAACAACACATGAGGATCCACACTGGAGAGAAACCATTTACTTGCACTCAGTGTGGGAAGAGTTTCAACCGCTCATCAAACCTTGATCAACACATAAGGATCCACACTGGAGAGAAACCAATAACGTGCACTCTGTGTGGGAAGAGTTTTCGCCAATCATCATCCCTTTCTAAACACATGAGGACCCACACTGGAGAGAAACCATTTACGTGCACTCAGTGTGGGAAGAGTTTCCGCCAAGCATCATCACTTAATAAACACATGAGGACCCACACTGGAGAGAAACCATTTACTTGCACTCAGTGTGGGAAGAGTTTCAACCGCTCATCACACCTTAATCAACACATAAGGATCCACACTGGAGAGAAACCAATAACGTGCACTCAGTGTGGGAAGAGTTTCCGCCAATCATCATCCCTTTATAAACACATGAGGATCCACACTGGAGAGAAACCATTCACATGCACTCAGTGTGGGAAGAGTTTCAGCCAATCATCAAACTTTAATCTACACATGAGGATCCACACTGGAGAGAAACTTATAACGTGCACTCAGTGTGGGAAGAGTTTTCACCAATCATCATCCCTTTATAAACACATGAGGATCCACACTGGAGAGAAACCATTCACATGCACTCAGTGTGGGAAGAGTTTCCGCCAAGCATCATCACTTAATAAACACATGAGGATCCACACTGGAGAGAAACCAATAACGTGCACTCAGTGTGGGAAGAGTTTCCGCCAAACATCATCACTTAATAAACACATGAGGATCCACACTGGAAAGAAACCATTCACATGCACTCAGTGTGGAATAAGTTTTAACTGCTCATCATACCTTAAACAACACATGAGGATCCACACTGGAGAGAAGCCATTTACTTGCACTCAGTGTGGGAGGAGTTTCAACCGCTCATCAAACCTTGATCACCACATGAGGATCCACACTGGAGAGAAACCATTTACTTGCACTCAGTGTGGGAAGAGTTTCAACCGCTCATCAAACCTTGATCAACACATAAGGATCCACACTGGAGAGAAACCAATAACGTGCACTCTGTGTGGGAAGAGTTTTCGCCAATCATCATCCCTTTCTAAACACATGAGGACCCACACTGGAGAGAAACCATTTACTTGCACTCAGTGTGGGAAGAGTTTCAGCCAATCATCAAACTTTAATCTACACATGAGGATCCACACTGGAGAGAAACCATTTACGTGCACTCAGTGTGGGAAGAGTTTCCGCCAAGCATCATCACTTAATAAACACATAAGGATCCACACTGGAGAGAAACCAATAACGTGCACTCAGTGTGGGAAGAGTTTTCGCCAATCATCATCCCTTTATAAACACATGAGGATCCACACTGGAGAGAAACCATTCACTTGCTCTTAATTAAATTAAATTCAGCTTTATTTGTATAGCGCTTTTACAATGTAGATTGTGTCAAAGCAGCTTCACATAAATGGTCATAATAAATTGGATCAGGGTAGTTCAGTTTTTAGTGTTTAAGTTCAGTTCAGCTCAGTTCAGTGTGGTTTAAATCATTACTGAGAGTCCAAACACTGAAGAGCAAATCCATTGATGCATAGCTCTACCGATCCTGAACCATGCAAGCCAGTGGCGACAGCGGAGAGGGAAAAAAAAAACTTTACTGATAGAAGTGAAGAAAAAAAACCTTGAGAGAAACCAGACTCAGTTGGGCACGACCATTTTCATTTCTTCGCTGGCCAAAAGTCTTGTGCAGAGCTGCAGTCTCAGCAGTGGAGGCTGGAAGCTGGCCTCAGCGAAGACTCGTCTGTCCCTGGAGCATCACTGGAATCAGTCTCATGTTCTCCACTCCCCACGACCACCAGCGCAGCAGCAGCTCAGGATACGGCCTGGTCCCGGATATGGAAACCTTGGGATCATCTCGTCGCTGGTCTTGGATCCAATCAGTGACTCCGCATAATCTGAGGACCTCGGGATGATTATCCCCAGGTGGAAATGAAGAAAAAAAAAGAATAATTAGCGTAGCTGCTGTTCATAGTGTATATAAGCAAGATATAGAAACTTGTGTGGAAACCCGCTAAGTGGTGCATTGAGTGTATGCTTTACTAAACAGATAGGTCTTTAATCTAGTTTTGAACTGAGAGAGTGTGTCTGAGCCTCGGATGTTATCAGGGAGGCTATTCCAGAGTTTAGCAGCCATAAATGAGAAGGCTCGACCTCCTTTACTCAACTTTGCTATTCTAGGTACTACCAGAAGCCCGGAGTTTCGAGATCTTAAAGAGCGAGTTGGATTGTAGCGAGACAGAAGATAAACAGGAGCTAGATAGGTGAGAATTAATATTTTAAATTTAATACAAAACTTAACAGGCAGCCAGTGTAAGGAGGATAAAATTGGGGTCTGTGGTCACACCGGACTTTTCTCTCCATAGACTTTCATTCATACGCACGCAAATGTGTCAGACTGGAAACGTAAGTTTGTGCGTCAAGTTTCGCAATTCACTGCCTTGCAAGGTTCAAGCTTGGTGAACTTTGACCTTGGAAATTGCATCACTTGACTATGTAAGACCCACACTGGAGAGAAACCGTTCACATGCACTCAGTGTGGGAAGAGATTCAACCGATCAGCAAACCTTAATAAACACATGAAAATCCACACTGATGTGAAAGAGTATATGCGCTTATTACAGCTCCAAAATTGAATCTGCACCAGACAATTTACTCTGGAGAGACCGTACAAGTGTTTTTACAAGAGGTTTAATCAGTTAACACATCTGAAAACAACAGGATTCACACTGGAGAGAAACCGTACAGATCTGATCAGTGTCTACAGAGTTTTAATCATTCGGCGCAGCTTAAGAAACACATAGGGAAAAAAGTTACACACATGACATGAATGCAGCAAAAATTTTCTCTGTGCACTGGATGTTTCATGTCTGAATAATGTTTGAAAAGGCTGAGTGACAGTATACTGTTTTCCAACACTCCTACACTGCAGTAGGTGGGGTTGTAAATGTGTTGCGCTTCTCGCGTTTACCGTAAACACCGTGGTGGTGGCTGAGAGAAGAACTGTCATAAACATCTGGCCAACAGCTCCTCTGCAGCTTAAAATCTCTTTGCAAGTGATTGTACCAGTGCAGATAAATTTGTACTCTCTCCAGTGTATTCATGTAGCTAGTGTTGTTTTAGAAGATGTTCACTGTCTGACTCCCTGAATGAGAGACATCACTGGGAAGACACCGCACATCAAAGAAGGTGGAGCTCTAGGACGCTTAGTTTGCAGTATACCAGGGCCTCAAGTTTTAAAAGCCCATTCAATTGTCCTGTGTTGCAGCTTTTATTAGTGAAGTTTCTTTACTTTTAGATTCTAGATTTTTCTAGTTTACTTCATTTACTTTGAGTCGAATACAAACTTGATGAATATTTTAGGATTTAGGCAGAGCGACAGGTATTAAGTTTTACAATATTTATACACTGTGATGACTCCAGATTAGAGCATGTGGTAAATTCTGATTGGATGCCTGCATTACTCATCAATGGGTATATAAAAGTTGTTGTGCTAGCTACCCCAGGACACTGTGGCTACTCAGGAGTCCACATGTCAAGACCTGCCATCTCATTGGCTCTTTAACCTTATGGTTTTGTTTTGCATTACTTTTGTCATGTAGTTAAAGTGTTGTGATTTTATCCTAAGTTCTTTATCGTCATTATTATCCCTAGAAATTTGTTGGTTGCTTTGATTGTTTGTTCTATGAGTTACTTTTATAATAAATAATTTGCATTCAGGCTATTTTGTTGGCACTCTTATGGTGCGACTCTAACAAGCGGGTCATAACACTTCGCAAAATGTGGCCGGTTGTATCCAAGATCTTGTTCTTTTCAGTCATGACCATAGGTGAGTGTAGGAACCTAGAATGAGCAGTAAATAAGGAACATTGCCTTTCGTCTCAGATCCTTCACCACAACAGACAACCACATCAACTGCATTACTGCTGCCGCTGCACTGATCCATCTTTAAATCTCACATTCCATTCCTCATGGAAAACCCTGATACTTGAACTCCATTTGGGGTAAAGACTCTCCTCCAAACTGGAGATGGCCACCTTTTTCCAGTCAAGCACAATGGTTTCTTAGAGGTGCTGTTTCTTTCCCTGCCATGTCACACTCAGCAGCAAACCGTCCCACTTACTCCATGTCCTATGAAGCCAAAAAGACAACGTTATCTGCAAATGGCAGAGACAGTCCTAGGCTGCACCTAAAATTCTGTCAGTAAAAATTACTGTATTTTTGAGATCAGCCTGAAAAATAGCACATTTACAAAATAAAATGAATAAATGGATGGATGGATAGACATTGTAGTGGTGGAAGGGGAAGTTGGATGGCTTGTGTAGATGTTAGATGATCACACACACACACACACACACACACACACACACACACACACACACACACACACAAGTAATAGCTTCTAGCTTATTTTTATTACGTTCTTCAGCAGTAACAAGCTTTTCTGTTCTGTCGCTCCCACCACCGACGTTCCCCTCTAGCTCCACCCACTTCCGTTACATCACTTGACACACAAGAAGCTACATCCCCCGCTTTTTTATTTCCAATATTTTTATTGCATTTTTTCCAGATATTATACAAACTTGCAAATGTATATGAAAAATAGAAGTCCTATCAGCAAAGAGATGACATGAAATACATAGCAATAAAAACAAGAAATCTGTAGAACTCTTTAAACAACCTTACATTTTTCTACCCCCTTCTATGCACCATCCCTCCCATCTCCCACCCCTCCCTATTTTCTGAGGCCTTCAATAAGTATGTAACGGTGAATCAAGACACTGATAAATAAATAATAAACATATAAACAAATAAATAATAACATTAGAAAAAAAATTATAAATAAAATAAATAACAATAAATATATGGGTAAATACAGAGGATGAAAATGTAAAATAGAAACTAGAAGTCTCTCTTTCTCCCTTTCGAAATTCTAGTCAGCAGTTCCTGAAATGTTAAGGTTCTCAATGACTGACAGCATGGGACTCCATGTTTTGTTAAAGGAGTTCAGTGATCCTTTAAAACAATGTCTCAGTTTCTCAAGATAGATGCCATTAAAAATCTCTTTAATCCAGTTTTCTGATGAGGGAGGGGACACATGTTTCCATTTGAGGAAAATTGCGCGCCTGGCGAGCAAGGTGGTAAAGGCAATGACGCAGCGTGATGTTTGTGTAGTTGGGGATGGAAGATAACCAAAAAGGGCAGTCAGAGGGTCAGGAGTGATGATTATATTAAGAGCTTGAGAAAGAATTGTAAAAATATTAGACCAAAAGGTTGTTAATTTTGAACATGACCAAAACATGTGAAGGTAATCGGCAGGTGACTGCTTACATCTGTTACAGGCATCACTTCTGCCTGGAAATAATCTAAAAAGTTTATCCCCCGCTTTTTTAGCAGGTGACAAGGCAACAGAAAGTAAAAAAAAATAAAATCAGGTAAATGTATATACAGATCTGGCATGAACTAACACGCGCATGAAACAAAGTGATCTCGCATGGCCACGACATATGGCGCGTTAGCACGGAAAGATGGTCTAGCAAATAAAGACATGAACAGTAGGGGGCAGTCGTGTACTGTAACGCACTGTATTGAAGCCGGAGCATTCTTTACGCATCGTTATAACCTAGAACACTACTTCATACAGGTGCGTAGATGTAGGGTGGACGGTGGTGATGCTTAATATTAATAGTTAAGTTTTCTAATTCACCACTGAACAACAGCTGATTAAACATCTGTGTCCTTTGAAGAAAAGCAAGATGGAGCAAATTAAAAAATAAAAACACAAAAAAAAAATGCATTTAGAAACAGCTGAGAGATCTCTCTTCCCTTCCTCACAATGGTTTGGTCCACTGCCCGCGTCCCAGCTCACGCAAAGACTATAGAATATCTTAAAGGGACTTTGATCTCACCTACTCTATGCACACGGGTCAAGTGTGCGGCTGCCTAGTTAACCTCGAAAGCGATTCTCTTGGTTCTCAACGAGGGGTGCGGAGAGATAGGAATGGGGCACACATTGTATTAAGAGCCCTTTTTTCCTTCTGGAGAGAAATTGCCCTTTTTTCTGTTAATTTTTAAAATAATAATATAAGCCTATGCATATGTGAGTGTGTGTTCGATATGAGGGCAGCTTTCCCTGTATATATTAGTGCTGACTATCGATTAAAAAAAATTAACTAATTAATCGCACCTTTTTAAAAAAATTTATAGCGATTAATCACATTTAAAATACTGAAACTTGTAATTTTGCCTGTTTAAATGTAAAATTAATGTAAACGCAAGACAAAAAATTATTTAAATTCAAAATATAATTGTTTAATAGAATTTTTGTTTA